CACGTTGTTGATGTAATGATGACAGTTTGTATTAGTACTTGTCCAGGTTGAGTTCTTCAATCATTTTGTGATAATCAGCATCAGAAACCTGGATTGGGATGACATAATAAGATAGATTGCAAGTTAACTGTGATGGATGGGCTTCTGTGGAGAAGTTTGAACAAATTCGGGACAATAACTATGTGTAACTTGTTTTTGTTTGTTTGTTTACTATATCCAAAACTGTATATAGATATTAACATGATAGTTTGCATGTCAATCATTTTGAAATTAAGATAACCCATGTGTGTCAGTCACCATGGTTGATGCTTTGCTTATTTATTGTTAACTGTGGTTGGTGTGTTGTGTGTCAAAAGCCTAAACATTTGTTTTTAAGGCAAAGAGGTTAGAATCAGTTGTTGATTGAGTATCTTAATGGCTGGAAGTTTTAGTGAAGGTTTTTCCACATATTTTAAGCGAAAAACTAAGAAAAATACCATGGTCGTTGTTGTCTACCACTTCCTTCTTTAAATTTCAATTTCGATTTCATGGTATAGCAGTTGCAGAAAGAGTCGACTGTTTTTACCAACAAATAAATGAATTTTAACAAATGAATAATAGCTATTCTGTTTGTAGTTTGCATGTATTTATTACAATGTTTTTTTTTCTTGAGCTCTACTTGGCTAATTTTTGACAAGCCTAATATCCCACCAAATTTTAGCATAAAAGGTCCAACATCTCATTTGACAGCATCATTTATAACAGTGTCAGTAAAGTCAAGGAAAAAACTGAACTTGGGGATTTGCTTTATGCTTTGAGGATATATTTTGTTGGCATGGTTGTGGTCCATGACCTAATTTACCTGTAGAATCTATTCACATAGTGAAGTAGCCTGTCAAAGAACACTCTGTATTTTCCTTTGAAATGTCACAAATAGATCATTTTTGTACCAGTAAAGGCCATGATACTTTATATGATTAGTCCCTATCTTTATTTTAACCTTGTGCAGGTGGTGTGGTTTGTGTTTCTCCATCGGTCTTCTGGAGAAGATCCGCTCTTAGTGGAGGAGCAGTGAGGAAGCGCTGCAGGCAGAGAGACAACAGGACCGGTGGGACTCAGGATGCCTCTGTTCTTCAGGAAGAGGAAGCCCAGTGAGGACTCTCAGAAGAGGCTCGAGTATCAGCTTTGCAGGGTAAGAATTGCTCATCAGACTCTGTGAAAGTCGTGTTTGCTGGTGCAACCTACCAGCTCGCTAGTAACATAATAACCACCTCCTAGTATTGTAGGTGCTTCTTACGCTGTGTTGATGGTGCATTCTTTTTTTGGTTTGCATGAAACAGAGGTAATTCCTTTTCCTTTTTTTTTTCAGTCCAAAGAAGCAGGTGCTGATGACATCTTGGACATTTCAGGCTGTGAGCTCACAGAGGTGAGTGAGAAAATGCTTATTTGCTGTATTTTTGTGATTACATCTTCCAATTTAGTTATTTGTCTGTCATAGCAATATACAACCTGTTAAGATAATTTAAGAAAAGTAAATTATATAAGCTCAACTATGTGCCAGTGAATCAAGCTCAGCCATTATCTTAAGAACATTATCTCCAGGTGACTTGTGACATGAAATTATTCATACTCTATAAGGGGATATTTCCTCGATTGCTCTCCTTTCACTCTAATCACAGATTGAGTGGAAGGGATAAAGATGTGCAGGAATGACACAAAAGCACTTTGGAAAATTACATCTTTTGGGGAATAATTGTGCAAATAATTTTCTTTTTTGTCTATATCTTATCTGATCTTTCACAGGTCCCATCAAGTGCCTTTTCCATCTGCAAGGTGCTGCAGAAGAAGGTAAAAAAGGGCTATATTGTGCTTTATAGTTAAAGAATATATGCATTTATTTGTTTTATGACATATGTGTTATACACTGATCAATTAAACTGCTGAAAGTTGGAAAAAAAATATCTGAATTAAATTTAACAGGACCTCTAAATCAGTTATACTTTGTTTACAGTACATCCTAAACACGTCGGCTGTATTGTGTCATTTTTGTCATTGCTAAGACCTGACAAAAGATGACAGTTACTTGCAGTAGTTTTTTTTAACTAAAACTTGATTAAAACTTCAGAAACTGAAACTTTGTACTAACCTTTGGTTTAGCGTTAGCACAAGTCCGTTGCTGAACAACCAACACTCATTCACATCCTTGTTTTCTTCTCCTTCAGGTCCTCATCCTCCATAACAACGAACTAAAATATCTGCTGCCGAAAGGATGCTGTGTCACCACTCTTGCCACTTTAAAGGTAAACCAGACAAAAGCATGACGAGACCCTCACGTGGTTGGTGAAATCATTCCATTTGGTTTTAATGAAAATACATTTTTTTAAAGAATATTTTCAGCAGTCAGTTTGACCAAAAATAAAAAATAACAGTATTTATCATGATCTTTTTCAAGCCAAAAAAGAGTCCCATACAGACTGTTTCTGTTGGGGAATATGTAGCCTGTTAAACAGCAGCAGCTGTTCCTTCCATACCCCAGCATCCCGCTGATTTTACTGTCTCTCCCTCCACTTACTTTCATGCCATTTCCCTGTTGTACTTACCGTTATGTTTCTTTAGGTTTTGGATTTGCATGAAAACAAGCTCGCATCACTCCCAGAGGACATTGGGAAACTAACCACTCTGCAGGTAAACCCTTCCTGACCTCTGCACGAGGTATTCGTACGATTGTGTTGAATAGGTCCTACTCATATCCATCTGGTCATCTTCTATCAGATTCTAAATGTGGAGAAGAACCGTCTGAGGACCCTCCCAGAGTCCATTGGAAATCTCCGACTTTTACAGACACTCAACTTGAAAGGTGAGATATTTACCGACCGCTTTTCCCAGAATGAGAAGATGTGTCATGATATTAGTTAATGTTTTGCATTACTGCTTTACAGGGAACTGCCTCAATGAGCTGCCAGACTCGGTTCGCTCTTTGAGCAGCTTGCGTACTCTGGACCTAAGTGACAACAACATTGTGCAGCTCCCTAAAGCCCTGGCTTACAACCGAACCTTAGAGGTGTGTTTCGGCTTTTTAACTTACATCATTTGAGACAACTCAAAATATAAACATTCCACTAATCATTCTTATATTTGTTTGTTTGTGTGACAGAGCATGTCTGTTGATACTGCCAAGATGATCTACCCACCAACATCTGTGTGCTCAGAGGGAACAGAGAGCATCCAACGCTTTTTGTGCGCTGGTAAGGTTTATAAAATGGTATTGAATGCTTACACACATCTATGGCAATTAAAATGAGCCACACTCTCACTAAGTGGGGTGCAGCAAAACCAAACAAAAGCCAAATTGTCTTTGTCACAGTTGTCACTGTGCAAAATACAGCAAGAGGGTTCCCTTGTTAAAGTCCCCGGGGGGGACTGGGGTGTGGAATGTGCATTTTCTCCTTGTGTTTAAGTGGTTTCTCTCCGGGTACTCAGGCTTTCTCCCACCATCAAACAACGTTAGGTTAATTGGACACTCTAAATTGCCCCTAGGTGCAAATGTGAATGTGTGTGGTTGTTTGTCTCTGTGTGGCCCTGCAATGGACTGACAACCTGTTCAGGGTGTACCCTGCCTTTTGCTGGTTGTTAGCTGGGATAGGCTCCAGCCCCCCCTTGACCCAATTGGGGATTAGGGGTATAGAAAATGGATGGATAGATATTTGTCATTTGAATGCTTTAAAAATTCACACATGCCCAAGTCCTGTAACCTAATACATCTGACAAATTAAGTTATGTTTGATTGAGTTAACTAAAAACGTTAACTAATATCATACACTTTTAGGTTGCCTTTGTTAAAGGAAGATGACATTCTTTATTTTGCTCTGTTAAATAAATATCTTAATTTGGGACATTGCCAGCAAGAGAGTTCCTTGTTTGAATCCTGGCTGATGGCCTCTCTATATGGAGTTTGCATGTTCTTTACATGTATGGGGTTCTTTCTGGGTTCTCCAGCTTCTTACCACCTTCCAAAAACATGTATGATACGTCAGAAAGTAAAAGCTTGACGTTGCTGACCCTATGTCACAGTTAACTACATGCTGTTTAAGTATGTAACATAAAGATCAGATGAAACAACATCTTACCAGCACAGTGACAAATGGGGACTTTTGTCACTTTTCTGTCTATTTTACTGCTTTTGTGTCTCATAACAGGATTGATTGCTATATTTTTAGAGTAACAAGCTTTGTAGATACTAAAACCCTGAGCCATGTGAGGGGCAAGAGTGTAAAGGCTGAGCTGTAAGATGTTCTTCCCTTGAATTTACTCAAATCCTCATCACAAAACTAAACAAACCAATTGACTGTTAACTGTATTTCCCATTTATTCATGAGCCTTTCCTTTCTTTATCTCTATATAAATGATCTCTTTTTAGATGGCAATTCAGTTGAATAATTTAAATTAAAATATCTGTCCTTCCCAGCTTACTTCACAGAATCTGGGGCTATTGCTACTATCTGAGATACTGTCTGTGAACTTGATGACTGAATACATTAAGAATTAATTGGTGGATACTACAATGAAAAACTGAAAATGCAGAGAATCTTGAAAACCGTTTAAAGGTTATTGTCACTGTAAATAAAAGTATTAATTTGAATATTTTTAATTTGAATTGTTTGTTATTGTTTTCAGAGCTAGGAGAGGAGTACTGCCCGCCATCTCAGTATCTTTTACCAGTGCTTGAGAGCGAATGCAGCAGTCAGCAGTCAGACTGTTTAGATGGCATGGAAGAGGTCTGGAAGGTACAGAAGTTTACACAAAACTCACATGACTGCACTCGTCAGCCACAACGTTAAACCTTCTGATCAGAGAAATTACAAATGTTATTAAATTGAAGCAGCACCTGCCTGTATGAGTAGGAGCCATTTTAAAAGTCAGATATTGAAGTGTTGAGAGCAGAAAAATGGACAAACTTAAAGCAACCTAAACAACACTGAAAATAATATTGTAAAGGCTTGAAAATTGTAGCAGTTTCTTCCCAATCTGTCGGACTTGTGTAGTGTTTCCAGACTGCATTGGTTGGAACCTGCCAAAAATGATGAAAAATGGTGAAATTGCCATGGGTGCTCATTGAAAGGATTTGAAACTTGGTCCAAGTACTGTGATTCAACCACATATTTACAATGTAAATGTGTATTTCTCATATAGTTTGTTTTTTAGACTAATCTGGAATATAAAGACTTGTAAAACTTTTTCAGAGGGTTTCCTGTTATGTATCAGAGCTGGATTTGCAGAATGAGAGGCATCTGCACAAAATAAAAATAAAACATTAAATGCTGCTGTTGTTGAAAGGAAAGGAAAGTTTTATCTCAGTGTTGTGTTTTTTGCGTTGACATTTTAAACTGCTGCTTATATTGTATTTGCCATCTTTTGAAGATCTTGGTGGTCTCATCTAACTTATATACTTTTTCTTTTGCAGAATAAATTCAGTGACTATGAAAAGAGAAAGGTTTGTGACTCCATTTAATGCATTTAAAGAATAACTGATGATTCTACTTAATTTAAGAGGCACAACTGTACAAAGTTGCCTCAGTATCATGACTTTCATATGTGTTGAGTAGAACTATTCTTACCTATTAAGATGCTAATTAGAACTAATGAGGTGTAATTTATTTAGATTTTCCATGGTGTAGCTTTGTTTATTTGTATTTGTTGTACTTGAGCTTTTTTAATTTAACCTAGTTATTTCCTGTATTTCTTTAGCAGCCATATTGCTAGCTTGTGGGTTGAACTATAATGGTTTCTTTGTCCACTTCCCTTCAGGAGCAGAAGCACCAGGAGAAGATGGCATTTGAGCGACACCTTGAACAGAAGCAAAAGGAGCACACACAACTTGTTCTCATGAACAATGTACACAAGGAAAACATCCTCAACTCAGTTCGACAGGTAAACTTTGTATTCACCTAACAGAAATATGAGCAGAGCCCTTCATTTTTAAACTAATGTAGGCTTTACTTATTCTTTTTTTTTTTTTTTTTTTTTTTTTTTACAGTTTTAACAATTTACTACAGTCTGAAATAGTATATTGAGTGTTCAGTGGAGCTTCATTTTTAAATCTAATAGAGATTATTCATGTGTTACATTGTTAGTTGTATTACTAGTTATCTTCTTACCTTGGGCTTTTCTGTCAGTCCTTACTTAGCAGCAACTAAGAGTTGGAATTTTTCTCATTATAAATGTTTTTATGTCTTAGTTCTATGATGCTAGCATGCTAGAACAATTGTTTGCACAAATGCAAACTTTTCTTGTACAAAATGTGTGTTTCATGTTACACTTTCATAAAAAGAGAATGTCTTGAATTACGGTTATACAAATTTGCTCCGTTGTTTCAGAAAAAGCTGTCTATACTTTATACCTTAAAACGTAAAAGTACACATGGCCATTCACACAGAATGAACTCATATATTTTGACGTTGAAAGGAAAGAAAGAGCATATGTTCGGGTGCAATTATTATTTGGGTTCAGTATGTACAGTGACACTCAAATGACCACCTACAAATAACTCCGTAAAGTCTCATTTGCATGTTTTAATCTGATTTATATCGCTGAGGGTAATCTTTCTGACTTTTAGGAGCAAGAGCGTGTGGAACAGGGATTTAGCCAGCAGCAGAGAGCTCAGGAGTCTGAGAGGCTACTTGTGCTGGAGAAAGTCCGTCAAGCTGAGGACAACATCAGCAGTCGAATAGATAGCATGCTGATGGACAATACCAGGTGAAAATCAGAGATGGATCCTGTTTTAGGATATTAAAACATGTGTAGTCACCATGAGATGCTTTTTATTCAGTGTAAGCCACTGCTTCTATCTTAACTTGTATTTAATTGGATCTTTCTAGGCAAAAGAAGAGTGCACAGTTTCTTCAAGCCATGGAGGAAGATCGGTGAGTGGAGAGTCTGCTGACCCATAATAAGACATATGATCCACTATAGCACATGGCAGCTCTCATCCAGTTGTTTTCTACTTCCCAAGCTAGGCCTATTTATGGATCCCTTCCCAAGTGAGATATATAATGGGCTTTCAGGGAGAGGAAAATGATAACGCAAAGAACATACATGTAAAACTCTAAAAATAGCAATTTGGAACCCTAAACCTTGAAAGACCAGTTAATAGCGAAGTGTAGTCGGAATGTAAGAAAGAGCAGGAGGTTGTCAGAACTAAGTCCAGCCAGGGCTAGAGAGTGTCAGAACTAATTCAGGATGAAATGACAACCATCCATGAGTACATCAAGAAGATGGCCACAACTGATGGAGTGCTTAGTGAATACCTCAAGCAGCAGAAAAATGTACATAAAAAAGAACATATATATTAATGGTTGTATTTACTCTGTGTTCATATCATCACTGTATGTGAAACAAAAGGATCAACCTTTTTGTAATATTGGATTTTTGTGTCTATTTAGGTTATATTTGATTGGTTCTTCTAACACAGTTTCAACATATATGACGAATATATGTGATAAAGCTGTTCAAACCTTTCTCACAGTATTCGCATGGAGCATTTGACTGCTGTCACCCAGGAAGAAGCCGATTCACTCAGGAAGCGGGAAGTGGCAGGTATGGAGTGTAGATTTGGCCATTTGCGCGCACCAATATTCAGATTTACGTTCCCCTAATGGACTCTACACCAATTGCTTGGCTACATGTAGCCATAAAAAACTATTGTCAAGTAAACTGGATACAAGCAACCCAAGAAATGTTCCATGTAATTTAAAAGTTGTCTCCTCCACTGAGAGAGGACTGATGAGTTTAATTTTTTTGTAATCTCAGTCAGTGTTTACAGGGAGCTGCTCTTGTTTCTATACAAGTCCTGTCAAGTACACTGTTGGCTATGCTCAACATCTTAAGTGCAAATGAGCTCTGGGCATAATTGGATTTTCTTTTTCCCCTCTGTACCAACTGTGCTCACTTTTGCCCCTCTTATGTGTTCAGCTGCCATGCAGAAGATGCTGTCAGACGGCTGCGCCATGAGCCTCCTTCAGCAAGCCAGTGATTGTCGCAGAAAGAGCTTGGTGTCCGAGGCATGCAAGAGGTTAAACATCCACTCTGCACTTGTACACACACACACACACACACACACACACACTGATCAAGGTCCTGCAGACTGTTTTTTTTAATAAAGTAAATCAGATACTTAAGCAACATGCAGTAATGTTGTCTCTCTTGTCCTGTAAAAGCATCGAGACTTTGGACCGGAAGTTTGACAAGATGCTGTCCCTCCAAGTTTTAGACAAATCTAAAGCCATCGCCCAAATTTTACAGGAGGTGGGTGTGTGTTGCCATGGGCATGCAAATAGCAGTAAGCTAGTATGACGGAGAAAATGATGTGGCCTGTTTTAGCGACGTGTCTTCTGGTTGTTTTCTTGCAGGAGGAGATGCAGAAAGCTGCATTCCAGGCCCTGCAGCTGCAGAAAGACGCCGTTCATGGTTACATCCGCAACCAGGTATTTGTGAGGAGTTGGTAGATGAGTCGGTATTGTGTTTACAGCTTGTTCTCTACTTCTGCTTTTCCCTTTTTAATTTATTCACAACTTGATTTTGCTCTTACTCACAAAATCTTCAAATGATCAACATTTATTTCTTCCCAACAGTTTAGGTGTGAGCAGACTAAAATTCATTCATCAGCTCATTCAGCCTGCCTTTACGTTGAGCAGCATGTCCCCTCCCCCTGCCAGCTTCATGTTTGCCTCTCCACTTTTCCCAGATCAAGCTCATAGAGGGTGAATTAATGCAGCTGACTAAACTGGAGATTAAAAGACGCAATCTGGATACTGAGAACTTGCAGGTTGGTGTCATAACCTTTTTGTTTTGCCTTCCCACATTTACATTAATGTACTCTTCCATCTTTCCTTCATTTTTGATGTTTTTTGCTGCAGTATTTCCTTTCCATTGCTTCATGGCTGCAGTTCAGGGAAGCTGTATTGCATGCTGAAATGATGGAGAAGTAACTAGAAACGGCACAAGATATTAGTCTATGTGTGCAATACAGGACTTTTCCTGTTTATCTAGCCACTCCTAATGCTTTTAAGACTACATGTCACATTCACTCACACACCCATACTGCACACTTTTGTCTAAATAGCCGTTTATATATGTATATATGTTAAAACTATATACACCTTTGTTTTTCAAATTCGCACACATTCACTGGACTACAGTGTCTTACTCCTTTGACATGTGGCCCAGGATACCACCCGGCTGCTCTTTGTCCTGAGCTACAACTGCCTCTTTTTTCTCAACTGAGTATCAAAAGAGACAATAATTTGTGATTTCTTCCACTTTAAGAATAAGCTTAGATCATGCTACATGTCTTTCCATTTTCTTTACGGTATGGCTCTTACACTGTATTTTCACCTTTCCACTAGGGAAGGTGAAAAAGGGCTGTCAGTGCACTCGGCTGACTGCAGCTGCCGAGTGCTGATTGGCCGTAAGCGTTGGTGATCCTTAGCGTCACAAATGCCTAATATATGAACCCAATACCGAGGTTTAGACGGTCTATAGTTGTCACGTTGTCCTTGATTATTGTGTCGTGCTTGTGCGTCGCGTATGAACAACGTCACGCACCAGTCGGCCCATCCTGCTGCTCAACCAAAATTTTTAATGGAAAACCACCTTAACCGTGTATGTCCCGGCCAGGCTGGGCCTTAACCGTGTAGGGATGAGTAGGTAGTAATAGAAAAATGCATTAAATTAGGTGTCAAAGATCAGGAAGACTCTGAGAACAGTCAGAATTTATAAGGCGACAACATCCAAGGTCCTGTATTTAAAGGATGTGCAGACCAACGGGTCATGGACATCAATTCAACAACCATTATCCCTGTACCAATTACCCACAACAACAGATGTTCAATGGAGAAAACACCTCAAACTTTATCTCCCTGAGCAGCGATCCCCTCCCAAAAAGCTGCATCCTGACCCCACTGCTGTTCATGCTCTTGACCCAAGACTATGTGGCCAGATCCAGTCCCAACCACATGCTGAAGTACACGTACGATAGTGGTGGGCCTCATCAGGGACCCCTGTAGGCGTCAACTAGGACGCCTACAGGTGGGATGTAACACCTGGTGGAGCAGTGCGGCTCTAACAGCTGGACAAAGGAAATGATTGTCGACTTCAGGAGGAGCAGACACCAACACACACTGCCCCACATCAACAACTCCACCATGGAGAAAGTCAGCTGCACAAAGATCCAGGGGGTGCAGAGTTTCTAGCTATCTAGGTCTTTAGCATGTGTGTGGACCTGCAGCTTTACTGTGAGGGAGACACCTCAGCTCCCTGCTAACCTCTTGTCTGGTGATGGTCGGTGTAGTGGACAGGATGGGTTTAGGTCTTAGTTTGGGTGTGCCATAGTAATAAAGTGCACTAATTGGTCAGTAGCAATTTGTAATATCACCTGTTCACTAGCTAGTTGAGAGTTAGTAGTAGTGACTGGGTGACGGGGGAAGCCCACTTTTTGCCGACTGCTTTACGCTTTATGCTTTACGTCTAGTTTACTTAAGTTTTGCTGTAAAACGTTTACATGTGGATTGAACCGAATTACTGACGTGTTTTAATGTTGGATACTTGAAGATTAATAAAGCAAGAACATAAAGCCCTTGGACTGGCATTTGAACGGCTACCGCGTCAGGCACGTTAGTTTCCCCGTTAGAGTGGGTGGTAGCGAGTTGGCTCTTCATCTTTATCTTGTGCTGTGGCTGTAGGAACACCAGGTTGTGATTCAACTTTACCAGTAGGGGGAGCTGAGTGTTGATCCTGATGCTTAGGCACCAAGTTGAGTGTCAGTCTTCCATCGTTTAACTCTGTCTTTCTCTCTATGTTGTGGGTTGTCCAGTTTGATGTTGGCCAGAAGGGCAGAAGCCCAGGTCCTGATCAGGCACAAAGATGGCTCCCAGGATGGTTTACAGCAGTGTAGAAACAGGTGGAAAAAGATGGGTTATCTCATACTCCTGTTACTCTATAGTCCAGTTATGAAAAGGCTATGGTTGGATTTCAGGGTCTAAAGGTGGCAATCTCAACATTTTCTGGATTCTGTCAGGACCATAGTTTGAAAAAAGGAATCACGTTGATATTTAAGTAAAAAAGCTCTTTACTAGCTTCCTTTTGGTTACTATAAGCTAAACCTATTCCAATGTGCTCAGTCTTCAAACTAAGATGAAATAAGTCGGATAACTATATTGTGAATATATCTTCATATTTAAAGCAAGGACATGAGAATGTGCAAATCATTAGTAAATATTTTATTGTTTGTCAAGGCATAGATAGGTTGTGTTGTGCCCAAGAAGCTTGCCAGTTTAGTTTTTGAATAAATTGCCTTGAAACGTACATCAGCATGCCAATATTTCCTTGAGGGTAAGTTTTAGAATCAATGGCTCAATTGTTAAGATAAAAACTAACAGTTCTCCTCTCAGCCTGAGCTTGACTTTGTAAGACTGCAAATTTTTAATGGAATGAAAATGAAGTAAGTGCAAAAATGTTAATTGTGCGGTCCTATTTATGTTCCACTCCACTGGTGTCTGCCCCTTCCCTTTTTTTTCTATCTGTAAACACCACACACAGATCAGTGTGTAAATGTCATCATGTGTATGTGTACAGGAGGTTCTTGTGGATCAGCGCACAGCTCTCAGTGACTTATTGCAGCAGCTACTGAAGCAGAGGGATCAAAGGGAACAGGAGCTGCGCCAGGTTCTGGTGAGGGAACGCATCGCTGTGTATCCTGTTTTCTTTCTCCTCAGTGTCATGCATCCTGCAGTCAGAGGTGTCATGAAATCAGACGTTTTCTCAAAAAGGAAACATTTTCATTCTAGCAATAAATTAGTTTAGAATGATGACATAATGGACTGACTTGTGAAACAAGTCTGCTTCCATTTTTTTTTATCCCCCTGAAATACTATTATTCGAAATATGAAAAAAAAAATTGTTTTCTCAGGTGGAAATGGAGCTGAAGTCAGAGTCCAACCAGCAGAACTATTGGATGATTCAGTACCAGAGACTCTTGGATACTAAACCTATATCCCTTCGGATGCAGGTAGGAAACAAAGCAGGTAAAACAGTTTTTAAAAAATGACAAAAATGTAAGACCAGCTCTAAGACTGACATCTCACTGCAGGAAGCGGGCGTAGAGAAAGAGTTGGTTAACCTGCTCTGCAGACTGTCAGCTCAGCACTACCTGCCTATTCTGGCTCATCATCGACTGACGACTGAAGCACTCAGTAACATGAAAGCTGGAGACCTCAAGAAGGTCTGTGTGGAAAAACTTTTCTCAACACTGTTTCTGTACTAGCATGCACTGACAAAATATGAACACAGCCAAATATCTGTGAGTGATCATGACTTTTTCTATATCATGTGATATACATGTTTGATTAAATGAATATGTAGTCCTTAAATAGCCATAGGAAACTACCCCAAGGATGAGAGAGCTGTAACTGGAACTAAAATGATTTCTCTTTTCAGCTGGGCATTAATGAAGCAGGAATTCAGACTGCTCTTCTGAACTGGGCCAGAGAACGCCAACCTAAAGGTGATTTACTTGTTCCCTGTATGATCATATCAAAAGGACTGAATAACTTATACTAATCCTTAATTAGCCAGAATATGTTTTTTAAAACTCTGATTATGCTCGTTTATAGGACTATTCGAAAAAATGAAATGAAACTTAAGTCTGTCTAATGTATCTGCTGTTTTATGAAATGGGACGTTAGCCCCCATCAAAAATTAGAACCACATTGGTTACGGAGTAATTTAACTGATCAACGAAAACAATTTAATTAAAATAGTTTTATATTTAGAGCCAGTTTTCTTCTCAAGTAATTATTTGCTTGATGGAAAAACTAATAGAGGCTAGTAGATCTGTCATACACCGTTTACTTTTAAATAAGTAGTAGATATTTTCTGTTTTTAAGTTATTACTTACGATTGTGAAAAGCTGGTGAAAACTCATTTATTTTCAATCGGTACTCGTATGTGAAGTTAAACCTTCTCCTCCATCAGGTGCTTGTAAGGCTGTCCAGGAAGAGGAGGAAGCAGAAATCGCCCCATCAGCTCCATCCCCGAGCTCCTTTCCATTTCTTCCCAATGCCTCGATCACACCGACCCCTAGCCCACCACACACCCCTGGGACCCCCGTCACCCCCTCAGCCCCTGCCCCCGTGGAAGGACCAGGAAGTTCTGAATGTGTGGTTTGCATGGAGACCGGGGTAAGAAAGCCCAAAAGAAATCCAGAAAGTGAAAACTACAGTCTAAATGACGCTGTATTTAGCATTCTTCTCCGTGCTATCCTGCTTTTCAAACAGCCTATTGTCCTGTTGCTTGTTTGCATAAGTCAAGTGTGTGATGTGTTACAAGACTGTTGTTATTTCCAGTCAGGCTTCATTTGATGGTTTGATCTCATAAAAAAGCAGCGTAGAAAGTGCATGAGTATATAGGGATTTCTGAATACAAAAAATAAAAAACTTTTTGGGGGATAAAACGTTTAAAGTCAGAAGTAATTGCCTATATGGATATAATCCTCTGAAATAAGAGGTACACACCATATTAATTTGTTGATTTCTAAAGATGATACTATTGATTTTTTCCTACAACATAAATTTGTTTTTGGAATTATTCACTCGGTCAGTTATCTCTTTACTGTTTATTATCCTCGCCATACTACTTTCACTTTAACTCTTTTTGGTTGACTTTATTTAACTGTTATTATTAAGTTGCTTGTGCTTTCCAGGGTTCTAACCGCTTTCACTAATCCCAAAAGGAAAAATTAACACATTTTTATCATTTTTAGATGAATTGAATAAATGTTATCAAAGCACTAAACAAATTTAAATGGAGGCAAACAATCCATTTAAAACATTATTTCTACATTAATTTTTTTCTCTTTAATTTTCAACCATTACTTTTTGTTTGTTTCCACTGTTTTGTTGTAACCATTTAATATATTAATGAATGTAGGTAAGATTTTGCATACCAGGGAAAAGCTATTCTCTGGCTCCTTGACGGACTATGTTTTGTTTTTGTCTGTGTGCAGTCTCAGTTCATCTTCCTGCCCTGTGGCCATGTGTGCTGCTGTCAGGTCTGCAGTGATGCTCTGCAGAACTGCCCTCTGTGTCGCAGCAGCATATCCCAGCGCATACGCCTCTACCACAACTAGAACCCGTGTGCACCATCGGGCTCCTCTCCTCACCGACCACCAACCTCTCTATTTATGCATGATCTTAAAGCTGCTGTGAGTAAACTTTGTTGTGTATTAAAACAAGCTTTTAAAGGGTTTTTTGAAGCGCTGAGCCACTTTCCTGGATTAATCAAACTGTACTTTGTGATGTTTATTTAGCAAAATTTTTTATTAGAGATATTTTTAAATGTTTTTTTCCTCTCTCTGTTAAGAAGATTGTATTTTCTTGTTCTTTTGTAAGTCTGTGTTTTTTATTTTATTTGATGTAAGAGCCAGTGAATGACACAAGTCACTGGTTGAAGACTATCTTATCTTTGCTTTAGAGTTCCAAGTTCCTCCCATTTTGCATCATTTAACCCAAACCCTCTTTTCTGCAAAGACAAGATGACATTAAGGAAAAGTAGAATAGAATAGTTTATCCCCGGTGGGGGAAATTCTAATTGACAAGTAACTAAGACATGTAAATATATTTACAATGGTTAATTATTGGAACAAGTAAAAGATTAAATAGACAAGCATGCTTAATAAACTGAAACAACTTCAAAATGAGAGACAATAAGATGAAGAACACATTAAAATGTGGCAGGAAGTAATCTGAAAGTGGAAGGCGGAAACCTGTTAAAAAAAGCTCTTAAAAATGCTGGACATTAGAAGAACAATAGCTAAGGGATTTGAAGCAGAACAAAAGTTACTGAAATCTATTCATTTTTGCTGAGTTATCCTAAAAAAATCTTAAGTGTTATGTCTATCACAGCTGAACAGGAATGTTTAAATTAATCATGAAAAGGCAAGAAAAGGGGCTAAAGAATATTTCAAGAGAGGAAGAGTTGTCATGAGAAATGTCAGTGGTTGAATTAATGGGTATTAATGAACAGAAAAACAACTGAAGAGGATAGTTCTTTACTTTATTTCTAAAGGACACTAACATGGCAAGCCTGAAGCTCAAACACATTTAAAATCCAAGTAAAAACCTCACTCTAAATGAAAAAGTATAAGGAACGTCAACGGTCAAGTGAGAATTAGTCAAATTCTTACGCAGAACAGCTGAGTCATGTAAACATCCCATGTTCCTGGGTGTTTATGTGTATGTGTGTGTGTGTGTGTCAGTTGGAACACTTCCTGTGTTCTCTGTCCGTCAATTATACTGCCATTAACATTATATGAGTCTATCTAGAGATGGGTTAAATCTCTCCACTTTATGGAAAACTAAGTGCTGCTGTCAGTGTCTTTACAGCGTAGGAAAAACAAGACTTTTTTCATCAGATAGACGTTTCCTTTTTCCAAGGACAGATATAAAGAAAATTTTTGCTTGTGTAAACAGAGCTGGCATTTCAAGTTTTGTTTTTTTCTTGTTTGTATTGCCTTCTATGATGCCCTTCTTGTATGTTGGCAGACCACTCCAGTGTATTACCCCTCAACACTTCAGGTATTTGCAGGTCTTTACAGTCTCTATCTTCCCTCCGTAAAGGCATAGAGTTTTAGATCTCTTGAAGTCCAACGCAACTACTTGGTTGTATTCAGGCGGACCCTGTTTATTTTGGTCCAGCCTTTCAAAGCCTCCACAAGGGCTCGGAATTCCCCCTCCTGTCCACCGTGGAGAGGGGAAAGAGTCAGTGCCCAGGACTGCATGTCAGTGCTCCAGAAATGCATTTCTCCATCCTGACACACCTGGTTTGGCAGTGAAATAGTCTGTAATCTGCAATCTCAGGGAGGGAGCGACCCCCCAATCTAGAAGCTTGTATCTCAGTATGGGAGTATTTAAGAGAAGGTATTGAAGACGTTGGAGAATTCTCAAATTCGAACCAATATCATCCAGATAAACATATATCTGGTGCAGCATAAGCATTGAACATTTCTTCTCTTGTTTACAATGCCCTAATTGTAGTACATTTTAACCATTATCGAAAAATAAAAATAAATGTAAATATGAATTTAAAAGCAGATCACTTTCAAAATATTTAGATGATTTTTTTTTTTCTGAAATACGTGTCAAATTTAATTTCAAAAGCAGCAAAAAAACAATACTCAGAGCCACACCGACTTGAGCCTTTCACCAGAATGGCTCCTACTGTCCTGGATGCCTGGCCCAAAGACCACTGTTTAGTGATCCCTATACAGAAATGGTCATCCTTTAAAAAAAAAAAAGAAGTTGAGGCTATGTTGACGTTCCAGGGAGGGGATTTGGGATCAGGTTTTGTTACACTTGTACTTTAACAAATCATTTGTGCCTTTATCTTGTAAATCTCTTTATCTGTTATTATTTCATTATTTATCTATCTGCATTGGGTACCAAAGTACATTCATGTAAGGTGAATGAAATGTAATCTATAGAGTGTTACAGCTTTTGATGTCAGAGCAGTAATGCACCCACATCTTATTATTCTGCAACTTATTTTAGCACTTGTCCTGTCACTTTGCAAAGTTTCCTTCCCCTCTCATCCAAGTTGCTCTATTTTTAATCTTTAACATTTGCTGAACCCTGCCTCTGGCCTAATCGATCTGTTTTGTTTTCTGCCTGTGTCCGACATAATTTTTGCATCTCAACTTGTGCATACTGTTTCATGCATTTATGTAGTAATGACACCATAATGTGTTTCAAGTGCTCTTATCTCTTCAGCATGTTTCAGACTTTGCATATCTACCAGTCATACGTGAGGGTTTGACATTATATAAAGATTCCACTTCATTGTAAACGATTCATGTTATCAGATAATGCCATAAAAAACATCTGTCAGTTTTCTGTGGTCTGTGTCGATTCTTTCATGTTGAAGACAGCTTATACCCAGAGATCAACATCTGGACACAAATTAAAAGATTATTGGTTCGATGAATATGTGAATAGCTGTGTTGAATTTCTACAGGTATATTAAGATTTTAATTTAGTCAGGAAGATGGTATCTATTGGCAGTTTTAAAAAGTTTAAATATATGGATGTTGTGGGCAAACCAAGTCTTTCCAATTTTTAATGCCGGACTTTGAATGCACCGTTGGCGCATTAGCCAATAGTAGCGCGTAGCTGACCTGCCGTAAAGTGGGCCGTATACCGACCGGTAAAGTCATAATTAGGCGTGTGAAGCATTTAGGGAAGTTGTGTGTTGTTATTTTTTCTGATGACTTTTTAGTGTTTACCTAAAGTCATTGTTGAATTGACAACAACGGTAAGTTTTTGTTTTCGTTACCCATATCATGCGCGACCAGAGAAAAATAAAACACGAATGATTGTACAGTATAATTTTCTTGTTGATGGTAGTGTTCCTGCTAGCGACTAGCCACAGCAATGACATGACAAACCAGGTTTCACCCTTTTGACCTGCATAGGATATATTTTCTAACTTATTGTAAATACTGTTAAGGCGAAAAAGTGGAAAATTGAATGTTGTTTTATGCTAATGTCAAAATGACATTTCTGTAAATTAAAAAAAGCGTTATTGTGTTGCATGACGAGTAATGTAGGCTAAATGCCACTATGCTATGGACTGTAAAACTACAGCCTACATTATTCAAGTGTCTTTGTTTGTTTTCTTTCAGTCATAATGTCGAATCCTGCTCTGCTCATCGTGTATGGGAGTCAGACAGGTACAGCCCAGGACATTGCCCAAAGAATAGCACGGCAGGCAAAGAGAAGATGGCTAAAGGTTCGAGTGTTGCCTCTGGATGACTACAATGTGGTATGTTTTTTGTTTTTTAATTCCTCCTGCACATGATGTCGTTAAGAAACAGCATTTTATACAAGTGCAGCCATGATAAGGGGCTTTTATCCTTCTCAATAGGCCAACCTGATCTCAGAGTCTCTGGTTGTCTTTGTATGTGCCACCACTGGACAGGGAGACCCCCCTGACAATATGAAGGTAAACACAAAACCACAAAAAGAAAAGAAAGGGACATTGTGGAGGAATTATTTTTGATATGTACAGATGAACAATTATGTCCATGAAATGCATAACATGTAGTCAAATAACAGATCATTTTAGAACAGAAATGTTGCAATTGTCAGAAAAAGTACCAGCCTAAATGCTGAATGTGTATTTATTTGGAGACTTCCATCGAAAGGACAGAGAGGAAAACATCCTTTGAAGAGAAAAATATTTTTTTTAATTGGTTGATTAAATTCTGAGGTGTTATTTTGGTGGACCGGTGACATGAATGAAAGAAGGATAATAAAGCACTCATCACTAGAGTGGACTAGAGACATATGATTGGCTTCTTTATTATCTAGAAGAGAGAAAGGCGGTTAGGAGGGAGGCTTTACAGTTTTAGATAACAAAGGTCAAACTGATTGGCTCAAAAGGTCTGAGTGCTTACGTCATAATAGCGAATTAAGTCAGTTTGAGGGCACACCAAGTGAAAAAAGGCCCAAACAGCAGAGACTGAAGGAGCAGATGAGTTTATTATGATATGATAGTTTGTCCTGTTTCCTTTTTTCAAAGAATTTCTGGAGGTTTCTCTTTAAGAAGTCCTTACCCGCTGGCTCTCTGAGCCAGCTGGACTGTGCTGTCCTCGGCCTGGGCGACTCTTCTTATCCAAAGTTTGTCCTCTTTGCAGTTGCAGGTACACAGCATATTCAGTACCATTTGGATTTAACTTCCGTAAAAAACGTCAGTTGTTTTTACGTTTAAGGTTTAATTTCGTGGCAAAGAAGCTTCATAAGCGTCTTCTGCAGCTGGGAGCCAATTCTCTAGTTCCTGTGGGGCTGGCAGATGATCAACACGACCTGGGGTAAGAACTAGCTCTGAGCAACTAGAGTCATGTGTCAGTAGGAGAGCAAGTAGAAAATAAAGTAATGCCTTTGTAATAAACATAAACATAAGGCCTTTCTAATTAAAGATGCTAATTGAAATTATTGTGTTTAGAGGCCTATATAATTGTTAGTAATGGCATTATGATACAGTTAATAGCAGGCTATAAGACATTTATAAACACTTATAAACACTTTGCAAAAGCTTAAGAACATTAGTAAAAGCCTCATGAGTATCTTATAATCGTTCATAATAGCATTACAACTTACCAAAATGTACAAGTTATGTCTTTTCCAAGCCTTGTTAAGATTTTATTTTGTTTGCTTTATTAAAATAAAACAATATTTATTAAACCGGTATGATCAGTTAACTATGCACTTATTAACAGTTAACTATGCTTTTTGCAGTTACCGGGTCTAAAGCAAGAACTCATTAAGGCTAATGGATGTGTCATTATGTGTTTATTACTGGTTAATATGTTTTTCCACTTCCACATCTTAAATGTGGTCAACGTTGATAATCACAGAAAGAAAAAGAAGAAGTTTAATTCAATTCAGTTCAATTGTTTCAACTGTAGAGTCCAAAATGTTTTAAAATTATAATATCATATTTATTTATAAATTTATAATATACATTTGTATATAATTATTATATAAACAAGTTATTATTTATTTATTTATTATCAAATATTATAAATAATTTATAATATAAATATGATATAATAATATATAATTATTATTTTTATTGCTGTGGACTAAAAAGACTTTCAGGAACTGTAAAAATTAAGACTTATCAATAAAGTCATTGAAATGAACATAAAGTATAAGTGCAACATAAACCTGAACTAAACTGTTAATGTATAACAGCTTTTTTTCTTTTTTAAATTTTAGGCAGGATGCAGTGATCGACCCATGGCTGACAACATTTTGGGAGACTTTGCTGACTCTTTACCCCTCTGTGGCTGAGGTGGCCCCACTGAGAGAGGACCAGCCGTGAGTATTCCCACGACTCACCATAACATCTCATTCTTTGGTAATGAATTGTGCTCAAGAGTTGATCGTTTTTTCTTTATTCTGTCTTTCCCTCGTTTTTTTCCCCCATTCTTTTTGTGGCAGACTCCCTTCAACATACAACTTCCTGTTCCTAAACGATAAGAGAGAAAAGACAGATGATAGGCTGAGGATCAACCCCGAGCAAACCCTCTCTTCCCCTCTGAATCCCTTTCCTGCCCGAATGGTGTTTAATAGGAGAGTAACAGACCTATCGCACTTCCAAGATGTGAGACTTATCGAGTTTGACATCACTGGATCTAATATCGAGTGAGTAACATTAAGCCATTTAAGATCTCAATATGACGTTAACATGAATTGACCCGAACCATCGTAACATAAAATTTCGATGTTTTTTTTTTTTTTTTTTGAGCAGGTTTGAAGCTGGAGACGTGGTGATGATGCGTCCCCGGAACGCGGAAGAGGACGTGCAGCAGTTCTGCGAGCTGCTCAGACTGGACCCGGAGGCCAGCTTCACTCTGAGGGCCACAGACGCCGCTGCAGGTGGACGCGCTCTCCGTGTTTCCAGACTCGATCTGCCCGGCTTTCTCAACTCGAACCTTTTCAATGAAACAATTCCATACCATACCATACCAGCTTTATTTATAAAGCACTTTAAAACAACCACAGTTGATACAAAGTGCTGTACAATCCAAAAAACACAAAATAAAAATAATTTCAATTAAAAGTAGTTTAAAAACAAAGACATACACTTTAAACTAAATCTCACTTTAAACTAAATCTCACTGGTGTTGAAAGCCAAGTAAAATAGATGAGTTTTAAGACGAGCTTTAAAAGTGGACAGAGAATTCCTACATTAACTCATTGGCTGCCAAAGACGTCTATAGACGTCTTTTATGTTTTTCAACGCGAGTGGCTGGGAGACGATCTGCTAAAGCTTGTCCGTAAATATCGGGCTTCTAGACAGAGTATGTAGTAACAAATTGACCCTCTAGGTGGCAGTGCCACTTTTTATGGGAGATGAGCATAGACTGTAGGCAAATAAAAAAAACGTAACGGTTCGCTATGAGAGAACATGTCGCCGGTGAGACGCAAGTCGAGGAAGAACGGAATAAGGTAGAAACAAATTTATTTTTCATGATGAAAGAGGAGAGTCTACTCTTTCTTTTGGTGTGTTCGGTGTTTACATAGTCATAGCACAAACTATTCTGTGGCTCTTGAAAAATCAGTCAAAATGCTCAAAAAACTCTGGCAGTCAATGATTTAATAATTGTGTTTTTGATAACAGAATGCAGCATAAAAAATGGTCAGTTACAATGTAATTACAGGTATAGATGCTCTAATAAGGCCCACTATCTAAACCCTAATAGGGTTCAACTTGAAATAAGACGTTTCCTAATGTCACAGAATAATAAAAAAAGTAATTTATTTACAAAAATATATATAGTTAATATTAATAGTACGAACAGTAATAATGTACTCTATCTGGAATCTCACGCATTGAACAATGACCAAAAGTTTTACATTTCTGCATCTAGCAGATGCTTTTATCCAAAGCGACTCACAAAAAGAGGGTTTAACATTCAACTACAACACCACACTTAGCTTACCTTGAGTTCAATATTCTGGAAGAGGATATAACATTAAAGATTTAAAATTCAACCAGAGATGTATAAAGTGTTGGAGTAGAGGAGTGGAGTAGAATTACAGTTACTATATAAAAAAAATAGACTTGAGTAAAAGTGTTCTTTCAACTCCATACTCAAGTGCAAGTATGGAAGTACTCTTTTTTTTTTTTTACTAAAGTATTGCAAGTAGAAGTATTTAAAAAAATTCTTCCAAAGTATTGAAAGTACATACAATTTCGCAATCTTTCGGGAGGCATGTTTTTTAATAGACTATGCTTGATCGCTCAAATCGTCCAATGAGGAGCCAGCTTCCTAAACCCTGACAGAGCTATCTACAGCTCTGGCTCTGACACTATGACTTGGGGATGATTCATTACGTTTACATATCAGTTACGAGAAACGATTCAGTCCGTGAAAGTAAAAGTATTGAATTAATCAAAAATATGTAGTGGAGTAAAAGTAAAAGTAGGGCAAAAAATATATACTCCAATAAAGTACAGCATTTTGATACTTAAGTACAGTATATAAGTAGTTCTACTTCGTTACTGTACATCTCTGCATTCAACTAAGACACAGACTACACAAGAACCATACATTGATGCTATAAACTATCAGGGAATAAAAGCATTTAAGACCAGAGATACTCTGAAAGAGCTGCTTCTTTAAGGGTTTCTTGAAGGAGGAAAGAGAATCTGATGCTTGTGAGGAACAGGAGACGAGAATAGTTTAGATTGGCTGTGTTGGAAATGCCATTTTTACACGGTCGGGACGTGTCTGACCCCTCCTGGTTTCCTGTCCCTCTCAGTTCCGGCCGGGCTCCCTCAGCCCTGCACGGTGCGCCACCTGGTGGAGAGCCACCTGGACATCGCCGCCGTGCCCCGCCGCTCCTTCTTCGAGCTGCTGGCCCAGTTCGCTAGCAACGAGCTGGAGCGGGAGAAGCTGGCCGAGTTCAGCTCGGCCGCCGGGCAGGACGACCTGCACGGCTACTGCAACCGCCCCCGCCGCACCGCCCTGGAGGTATCCCGACTTCTGTTAATGTTCAGTTAATTTGTTATGGCCATTTTTCATCTAGTCTATGTGTTGCTGTGTTGGCTGAGGCACATGGCCGCCCACCCTGAGCCATGGTTCTGCTCCAGGTTTCTGCCTGTTAAAAGGAAGTTTTTCCTTCCCTGTGTCGCCTAGTGCGTGCTCATGGTGGGAATTGTTGGGTTTCCGTAATTAACTTCAGAGTAGGGTCTGACCTGCTCTGTTTGGAAAGCGCTGTGAGACAACTGTTGTTGTGATGTGGCGCTATATAAATAAAATTGAATTGAAATTTAATTATTATATAGCCCAACACGTGTCAAATCTGGGTGCCTCAAAATACAGAGAATATCAACCCAAATAGAGGCTGACTATTTCTTTTTGTGTCCATTACACTTGATTTTCCTTTGGCTGCAGGTTTTGGCGGATTTCCCACACACCACCGCGGAGCTCCACGTGGACTATCTCCTGGACCTTTTCCCGGAGATCCAGCCTCGCTCGTTCTCCATCGCCTCCTCTCTCAAAGTAACCGTTCCTTCGCTGCAAATGAACAACCGGCACGCGATTTACATGTAAATGAGAGAGACCATTCTAAAGAAACTTGCTTTCCGTAGGCTCACCCACAGAGGCTTCAGATCCTAGTGGCCGTGGTCCAGTACAAAACTAAAATGTTTAAACCAAGAAGAGGCCTCTGCTCCACCTGGTTAGCCTCATTGGACCCCACACAAGGTATCTATCTATCTATCTATCCATCTATCTATCTATCTATCTATCTATCTATCTATCTATCTATCTATCTGTCTATCTGTCTATCTATAGCAATACAATACTTATGGAACTACTGTTTGCGAACATAAAAATACCACTTCTACAGTTCTTTTTTGTCAAGCCAATGGATGGTATTTCATTTATTTCTGAAATATTCTCTAAAAACTACTGATAAAAGTTTTGGAATCGGGCAGCACAGCTAAACGCTAACCTATCAGGTAAAGGTTTTACAACTAATCAGAATTTTGTGAATATGGGCAGTTTGTGGATGTGTTTTCCACTTTAATAACTAAAGAATTACCATCCTGTAAATGTCATTCATCTGCTGTATTTCTTCTAGGGGAGATCTATGTTCCCCTGTGGGTGAAGAAGGGCAGTCTGAGGTTCCCCAGAGATAAGGAGATCCCCGTGATAATGGTGGGGCCTGGAACCGGAGTGGCTCCCTTTAGGTCGGCTGTACAGGAGAGGATAGCCGAGGGAAAAACAGGTGAAGTCCTCCCTCTGCTCTAAGATCTGTTCTCTGCTGTCATAATGCGTTTTCCTCCTTAAAACTGGCCCCAGACGTCCCACTGACTCAAACATGTCTCCTCCGTTAGCCAACGTCCTGTTCTTCGGCTGCCGCTCGGAGTCCAAAGACTTCTTCTTCCGGTCGGAGTGGGAGTCGCTGAGGAAGGCCGAACAGCTGCAACTCTTCACCGCTTTTTCCCGAGACCAGGTCAGAGAGAGACGCCGCGGAAAGACGAAAGCTGAGTCTGTGAGTCTGTTGCCGACTGAATCCGATTGGCTGAAATGTGTCCAGGAGGAAAAGGTGTACGTGCAGCACCGCGTGAGGCAGAACGGCGCCCTCTTGTGGGACCTGATCGCCAAAAGAGGCGCCTGGTTTTACATCGCTGGGTAAGCGGGGCCTCTGCTGCTGTTTGCCTGGTTTTTCGGAAGTTTAAAGAGTCAAACCAGGAGATTTGTTCAGCTTTCAATCCATCTCGAGTTATCGAATGTTCAATTTTTTTTTCTCTCAGAATAAGCATTTTATATATTCCTGCTAACAGAATTCTTTTGGACAGAATTAGAGTTTGTAACACTTTTCTACAACCTCTTTAAATTTAAGACCACATTGTTGGGCACTGTTCCAGGTGTATTTTGTATATCATTTTGTATATTGAAGTGGAAATGTTAACTTTGAAAGAAGATATATGAAATATGCTAAAAATAGATTTTTGTGTTTGTTTGATTCCCATTCAAGACACTTTGATAAGAATAACTGTAGTGTTACTATAGGCGGCTACATTTTAACATCTTAACATTTTTGGTTGGCTTACCTTGGCTCAAAAAAGGTTGAAAAACCTGGACCTTCATTGGTTTTTATTTCAGTCATAGTATGTTTTTTTTTCTCCACCTCACTTTAAATGATATTTATAAGTTATAGCAACTGCTGTGTTTTTTAAAATTATTTTCATTTACTTGTCACTTTTATTAGAAAAAGACTAAGCTTTGAGCCTTTTTGTGTGTGTGTGTGTGTGTCCGCAGCAACGCCAAAGAGATGCCGGCCAGCGTGTGTGACGCTCTGAAGGACGTGTTCCAGCAGGAAGGAGGGGCGTCCGTCCAAGAGGCCGAGCAGATGCTGGCGGCCATGGAGAAGACTGGCCGGCTTCAAACCGAGACCTGGTCCTGATCAGCCTCAAACCGAGACCTGGTCCTGACCGACCTAAAAGCGAGACCTGGTCCTGATCAGCCTCAAACCGAGACCTGGTCCTGACCGGCCTCAAACCGAAACCTGGTCCTGACCGGCTTCAAACCGAGACCTGGTCCTGACCTGGTCTTCAAAGCGAGACCTG